AGCATTTGTTTTGCAGTATTTGTATTGTTAATACATTCAGAGGGAGTGTGGCCTTATAAAAAAAAGAGCCTGTTTGAAATAAAATAAATGGTTTCAAAAGTTATGGTGTGATTTCTATACCAACTTATCTACTTGTCAGAGTTTGCACTACCTTTTTATTGTCAAACATAATATTTACCCATCAATTTTTACATGATAATTGCATTTCATTTTCATTCTGCTTAATTTTCAACAAGTTGAACAGATAATCCACACGAACCCCGCTACTTGGTATCGGTATCGGTGAGTACCTAAACTGAAGTACTCGTACTTGTACTCAGTCTTGAAAAAACTGGTATCGGGACACCCCTAGTCAGCAGCTTGTTAAACTGAGCTCAGGAGAAAAAAATAGTCCGTCAGCTCGCAGCTCCTGGAGTGGTGAAACTAACCGAACAAACCGCCTCTAAATTATCTGGTGAATTAATCTGCGGTGCGCAACGTTTGCTTGCTCTTTAGTAAAAGCAAAGCCATTTTCTTTATTTTATCTTTATTTCATCTGCCGAAGACAAACCAGAAAAAAACCAAGACACTCCTCCCTCTTGAGACGTGTGTCTAGTCTCTGTCCCGGTCTGAACATAAAGCGTCCAACTGGAGGCGTTGGGAGCATTTTTGCTGCTCAAAACACGTTCGGTGTGAATGTAGCATAAGAAAACCTCTAATCAGTGATGTGGGATTACTGCAGTTGGTCAGGTCTAGTTTCAGCAGAATGTGCTCAAAGAATGAGGTCAGCTGACCACCTGAATATGCTGAATGACCGGGTTATTCTATCAATGGATTTTGTTCTTCCTTCATGTAACGGGAATATTCCAAGATGACAGTGTCAGGATTCATGTCAGACTCTACCATCATCAATGTAAGATCTTGGTGAAAATACAGTATATTGCAACACTGGATGGAAATAAACCTTGTTGACATTACAGAAGCTTATTGAAACGATGTCACAGTGAATGTGTGCAGTAATCAAAGCTAAATGTGGTCCAACTAAATAGCGTGTGATTATTTTTTTTTGGCCAGGTAGTGTTTATTATCAATGTGTTTTTTTAGAACTAGTCTACTTCCTCAGGTGTGTCCATCAGACCTGCACTCAATCACACTGAGATCAGACCATAAGCAACCGTAGCTAACCCAAATGAATATAGCTCCATCAATTTTAAAGATAATGACCTAAAATTTGATGTGGATGATATGAAATCCTTCAAAGAATGTTGGGTATTTATGTGTACAACTGCACTACAAAACAAAAATACTCACCTATTGGTCCAACAGGTCTCTTGAGGAATTGTCCAGCAGCACAGGCCTCATCAATTGCAGTCATCAAATCAGGAAGAAAGTCCCCAAAACGCTTCAGCTTATTGGATCGACTGGCAAGTAGCTGGTTCTTCCTCTTCAGTTTGGACTCATATGCAAACTGAAGACTCTTTTCTTCACCACTGACATAAAAAACAAAGAGCTTAACGGTAAAATATCAGCACTTTGGGAAATTATTCTTATACTCCAGGTCCCAAACTACGGGCCTCATGCAAGAACCGTTCGTACGCACAGATTTGTTCTTAAGTTGTGCGTACGAGTGATTTAGGAGAATTAGTGGCATTCACCAATGTTTTCATATTCTAAGA